CTTTTGCTCTTTCCTTATGAGAAAACAAATCCCGAATATAGTAAAAGTTAACCGGGTATAGGCGATGCAGCCGGTTTCCGGTGTTAGATGGAAGTTGATAAACTTCGCCCGCGCCGAGGCTCAGCTGGTGGAGCTTTAAACCCCCCCTGAGCCCCTGCAGGTGCGGTACGGCCCCTATTTATTTCCTTAAGGTTAGGATTCCTGTAGGACCGGAAGGAACGCTAGTGCTTACAGGTACGTACCCTAGCTCCGCATCTAATCGATAAGGAATTGAAAGCCCTCCGATGATTTACCGAATCCTTGCGGGCGCGCGGTGCGGCATACATCGAAAAATCCTCAATTGCGAAGCTGCCGAGCTAATGATCTAATTGCCTAGGTCATCGTCGACATACCATTGAGCTCGCCACGGAGCTCATAACTCCTCAAGATGGCCGGCAGGAGTGTTTCACCGGGGGCGGCGCTCTTGAGATCATCTAGGATGTTCTCGATGCCACCTCCAATACCACCTCCTCCCGGCGATTTTTCCTCAGCAACTAAGCATCACTCACCAACCGCTACTATTAATTTCCCGACACATCTAACCGTCACGACGACTTCTTCCTCCCGATTATCCGGTGACTGGGGTTTCAAGCGACCGTTCCCCTTGAAAACTACGACAACTACCACATACCCTCTCGTACGAGTGAGGAAGGTCGATTCTATCGAGCAGGTCACGGACTTTCAATCCGCTACAGACCATGCCATTACTCTACGGAAATTTCAGGAACTGGCCCTTCCGATCTCGGTACCAGCTCTGAACTCTAGCAAAAATATGAAATCAGTATTCGAGGAAGATACCGACGTAACTGCGTTAGACGACGCCAAAAAGAAAGAGTTGGTGAACAAGAGATGGAAATTTACGGGACCTTGGCTTGCTGGAATGACGGACGGCGACTTCCAAAGGTTTTTGGAGAAGACGGTGCGAGGAAGGCGTATAGAGTTTCGCGCTTTCCTGAAGGAAACCCTTGCTGCCGAAATGACGGCGGATCGAACGAGGTTGGCTAGGGAAAACGGAGAGCCAGAACCATCCGAGACAGTCGCTGCTGATATTACGGAGGGGCAATTAAACGACTATCTAAGGGTTCTAAGGGTGGAACGTATGACCTTATATAACCTCGTTAGTCAGTTCTTAGACCTTGCTCCGGTCGACGTAGATGTATCCCTACGTCTTCTTGGCAAGTTTATGCCAGGATCAGCAAAGGAATTCGAGAACGGAAGCCCGTACGGCATTAGCGGACCCCCTATCACACACCCCTCTGCCGGTATGTCCTACCTGCGCACGCGGAATTTCTTGGAAAACCACGCGCTCTACGGACCTCAGAAATACCACGCTCCCATCAAGGCGCGGATCTTGAAGCCTACGAATATGAATACAAAGAGTTATAGACCCAGCATCGGTATGGCCGGCTTCGTCGCTAACACGTCGAACTCTGACACGGCGTTCAACGCGGTGAAGGCTAGGAGTGCGTCCAGGTTCCAGAAGCAACTGTTCGGCTTCGAGCTGGAGAAGCGAGGCGGAGCGAAGTGCTACGTGGACCCTGCCTCGGCTACGATCGATTCGTCCGGAAAGATCATCATTAACATCGATGAACCTTCTTCGGAGGCTGAGGTTGTGCAGAAGGAACTGGCGGGAGAGTTGGCGGAAGGGGAGAGCGTGCTGGAGCATCTAGTGAAGGCTAGGGAGAGGGCGCAGGAGAGGTCACAGATTCCTCTAAACCCTAGACATGGGCTGGGTGGCTTCGGTATGGGACAGCGACTTCAGGGAAATGCGAGTAGTTATGGATTAAATTACTAAATAACCAAACTTGCTTAGATGCTTCCTATGAAAAGGAGATGAGCTTAAGGGGCATTATGTAATATATGGTGTATTACTCTATGCCTTGTATGATTTCTGTATATACCGATTGAGAGACTCCCATTATTAAGTGATCTATACATACATACCTACTAGGTATTTAGCACTCCGATACTGCGCCTTCAGCTGTTTCTAGCTTCCGCTTTCTTCAACATTCATTTTCATATTAGAATATATCTTGTTCATGAATATTATCACTATATTAAGTATATGATTTAATGCAAGCCTTAATGTTTAGTACAAAGTACTTAGGTACATAGATACCAATTTTCTTTGCCCTAGGACCCACTTTGAATTTTACCGACATCCCCCCACATAGGTTTTGCCCACTTCCAATAATTCTTTTCTGAACATTTTCAATTCATCGCAGCTACTTCGTCGACAATTTTCGGACTTCCTTCAACACCAAACACCATCCGACTAACCCACAGCTAATACCGCCAAAATGGGTCGCGTTCGTACGAAGACTGTCAAGAAGTCCGCCAAGGTCATCATTGAGCGATACTACCCCAAGCTCACTCTCGACTTCGAGACCAACAAGCGAGTCTGCGATGAGATCGCCATCATCGCCTCCAAGCGCCTTCGCAACAAGGTTAGCAGCCCTCGAAATATTTCCAACAATCGATTCGTCTCGCGACTTCGATTATCGAACTGTACAAAAATGGACAAGTAGCTAATTTTGGATATGTTAGATTGCCGGCTACACCACGCACTTGATGAAGCGAATTCAGCGAGGACCCGTCCGTGGTATCTCCTTCAAGCTGCAAGAAGAGGAGCGTGAACGCAAGGATCAATACGTCCCCGAGGTTTCCGCCCTCGACTTCACCCAGAACACCGAGGCCGGCCAGCTCGACATCGATGTTGAGACTAAGGATCTATTGAAGCACCTTGGCGTACGTTATGCTCATTTTCGCATCTTACCAAGAATCACTCAGCGGTTGGTTGCTTACAATAATCGATAGTTCGAGAACGTCCCCGTCAACGTTGTCCCTGTTACCCAACAACAGACTGCCGAGCGACCTCGACGATTCGGTGACCGTGCTCCCCGGTAAATCAATGCGAAAAACGCGACGGGTTCATGAATGAGGATGGGTATGGTGGTTGATTTGGGCAACTGGCATCGGTCTCATACGGCTTTACGGCTTACGGCGTCTCTACTACTACAAAGATAGTAGGTACATTTTAGATCCGCAATTGACGAGATCTCCCCATACAAGGTGTCCCTGATTCTCTAGTGCAAGCTAGAGATGATGGTTGATGGCCAATTTTATCCTATCCCATGCATCTTGTGATTTGCTCTTGATTTGGATTTACTATATCTAGATTCTGACTTCATGGTTCCTATACAACAAAATGGTAAGCGTAGACAGGACAGGTAAAATGCTATTTAATAGAACAATCTCAAATTTATAATTTTTGGTACTACAAAGCCGTCGTGCTATGTATGGGTACCGATTATGCTAGCCTAAACGCCTCATAATGTATGCTGTATGCCAATGATGATAGATGCCTCCTATAACCTATCATCACTCGTCGGGATCGGCCTTTGGGTCGAACTTCGTCTTATATCCATCCAGAACCAAGTGACCTTCACCATCCGTATCCAACGAAGGCTCCTGCGCCGCCATAGTCACCTTCTTCTCCCTGATCGTAAGCGTAAACGGCTTCGCGGTAGAAGGCGACGAGTTCGTCTTATCGCCTCGCTCGAGCGCCAAATCCTTCGCATCCCGCGCCGCCTTCCCCTCCTTATTCTTCACGTCCCGCAGCTCCTTCGCGACCCGCCGTGTTGGGTCGTCTCCCTTATGTTTCTCCCCCTTCGAAGACTTAGACTTCTCCTCCTCTTCTTTCTCGAGCAACTCAATCTGAATCGATTCGATCGCCTCCCGCTCCGCGACCGTCGTTTCCTGGAGCTGCACTTTGACGTACATGGCACGCCGCGCGCACTGCCGCGAGCACCACCGCTCTACCTCTCCGCGAGGGACGATGCTGAAGTCCGCGCGGCCGTAGCTTAGCAGTTTGAAGGCGCCGGCGCCGGATAGCTTTGTACGCGGGCGTGGGCACAGGCAGTACCCGCATTTGTTGAGGGCGTTGCGCTCTTGGATTAGGTCTTCGTAGTCGCCGGGTTGGAAGTGGCGGATGCTGGAGAGGAAGTGGGCGGTGTCGTTCGGGGAGGGGTTGGATGCTGTGTAGGCTTGGGTTTGGGAGGAAGATTTGAGAGGTGGGTTGGTGGTGGTGGAGAGGGGCAATCGTGCGAGCTCGATGATGGAGTCTAGGATTCTGTCTTCGTGGCGCCACCGCTCGTGGATGGCTAGGGCACCCTCGATGGCGCGTTTTCGCGCCGCGGCCTCTTGATCTTCTATACTGGCGCTTGGTTCGGGCTCGGGTACTAGGAAGGGCGTTACGGGGAACGAGGCGGCGTCTTCTGCTGCTGTTGCGGGATCGATGGTAGAGGTGGAGGTAGAGGGCTTCTTGAGGATGCCCTTTGGTTTTTTGGCCTGCGTGGGCGCTGGCGAGGCCATGATTGTGGAGGGTTTGCACTGGTTGTCGATGGCTTGTGGTATTAATGGTTGTGGTCGATCTTCTGGTCTGTGTGGGTGGTGAATGGTTAAGTGTGAATGGAATCTTTGAAGTAATGGAAGCTTCTATTCTGATCTGAATCTCTTTGGAAATGTTGGTGCTATTACGTAGATGCAGGTATTATGCGCTTAACCGAGTTCGGTATAGTGTCTTTTTATCGTCCCTTAGGTATCTAAGTATCGACGTATTTCACAACATCACGAAATTCAAAATGGGCGCTTGTTACGAATACGATTGAGATGCTATGAAAGTTTTCGAGACTAAGCAACATCTAACATCTTGGTGGGAATGTAAGTACTCTTAGACAAAGACAACAATTGTAGAAGAATAATGGAAACATGAGGCTGCTTGAGCTCTTCTCACGGTTTGCTCACCATTATCGTTGATATTACGAACCTTTGAAATTTCACCGATCATTACACTTCACAAGACAAAAATGCAAAATTAGACCAGGCAAAAACATATCAAATATATCTGACAAAATATTTAAAAGAAACTAGATAGGAAAAAAGAAAGTCTTCCAGTATTATGTCCTGGGTGAGGCTCGAACTCACGACCTTTGGATAGCTCACTCTGGGAGTGCTTCATATTATGAGACCAACGCTCTAGCCAACTGAGCCACCAAGACAAACCGCTCATTATTTGAGCTGATGGAAGTTTTAGCTTTACAGTGGCATATAATCCAGGCTGAATGGCTTAGTTCTAAGTTTACCACATCCCCCGCAGCACCAGTGGGAAAAGAGAAAAAAAAAAAAACTCTCAATGCACGTGATAATCTCGAGCCACTAGACGGTGCTAAGACGGATAGAGTAGATTGAGGTGCATGTGGTGCATTTGGTATCGTCATTGGCCCGTGCGTCTTGCCTAACCTTCACGGAAACATAAGGTGGCAGGCAGGCAACAGTGTTAGGGAGGGTGCAGAGGGTTAGGATGTTAGGGAAGGGACGTTCGGAAGGTTCGCAAGGTTCAGTCAAAGCCAAGCCAAAATTCACGAAACCCTGCACCTGAAATGTACCAGAAACTGCACCAGAACATTGCATTGCATTATTGCATTACCATTTACCGGTCCTATTCAATACCATCCTTTCCCTCACGTTCCAGTTTGATCCTCTCCTATTTTTTGTTCGTCCATGCTCCCATGTTCGTCTGTTGATTAAATTAGTTCCCTCTCTCTACTCTAATTAATTCAAGGAACTAAAGGAACCGTCATCAATATTTAGAAAAAGGTCAATAAGATCAACATTGAACATAACAAAACCATTCGATACGTACGATAATACGTCAATACGTCAATACCTAGGTAAATGCACTCGACCCAACCTGAGGCACGCACGTCAGTCAACTTAGGCCAAGCTTGGCTCCAGGGCTTCCGCGGTGGGTTACATCTCGTCTACTAGGTATTGTTAAAAAAGGATATAGGGTACAAGTTCATGCGCTGACGTCGACCTACTCCAGCCGCGAGCTGTGACAGGCTACTTTGCGAATGCTCAGCCTCATGCGTTTCCCCCCTCTACCTAATTTGACCAGTTGTGATACATTACCCTTTGGTTTGTTTTAACGACTCGAGATAGAACGTTTGTTCCATCGTCAGTCAGCGTCAGCAGCACCGCAGCGGGCGAGAAAGGCTAGAAATCCCAAGAATCAATTTGTACATCATACTGTCGCAATCATCTCGTTCACAATTTACGACCCCGCCAACCCGCCAACCCGCCAACCCGCCAATTGTGCATCGAAATTCCTCCCAGACCAAGACCCGAGTTCCACACTAGACAGCTCCAGCTTACGACGCCGATGCATCATGGCGGCCGTGCCATTCAAAGTAAAGGCCATCTATGAGTACACCTCGGGCCACGAAGACGACCTCCCTTTTAGCATCGGTCAGATCATTACTGTCACTGACGAGGAAGATGATGACTGGTACGGTGGTGAATATGTCGATGACCTGGGTGTGAGACGAGAAGGAATATTTCCACGAAACTTCGTTGAGAAATACGAACCGACCGCCCCGCCGCGTCCAACGAGAAATCGGAGGAAGGAGGCAGAACCCACTGCTTCTTCACCTCCTCCGCCACCGCCTGTTGCTCCATCAGAGCCCCCCTCTGTGGAACAGTATGTGGATGTACCGTCTAATGTGGCTCATGACGAACCACATATTGCTTCACCTACCCTTCCGCCTCCTGTACCCCGTTCTCCTCCAGCTGTAGTTGCTCCTGTGGCTAAACCGCCAGAGCCGTCTCCCATCCCGGCTCCCGTTCCTGTCGAAACTAAGATGCCCGAGCCAGCTAGCCCTGTTACTGCTCAGCCGGCAGCAAGAGCTCCAGCTCCAGCTAAACCCGGTCCTCCCCCGGTATCTGATAAGCCCAGTAGTAACTCGTTCAAGGATCGTATAGCCGCCTTCAACAAGCCAGCGGCCCCGCCCGTTGCGCCTTTTAAACCTGGTAAACTAAGCTCCGGTAGTTCCGGCTTCATCAAGAAGCCATTCGTTGCTCCCCCGCCGAGCAGGAATGCTTACGTTCCTCCACCTCGCGATGTTCCTACTGCGAAGGTCTACCGACGAGACGAAGATCCCGAGATAAAAGCTAAAGAGGCGGAAGCTCTGGAAAATGCTGAGAAAGCCGGTCTCGTTCCTACAGGTACCGCGGAAGGCCAAGCGGAAGATCAGCCTAAGCCAACTAGCTTAAAGGAACGAATTGCTTTGCTTCAGAAGCAGCAAGCTGAAGCAGCCCAGCGGCATGCCGATGCTGTTGCTAAGAAGGAAAAGCCTAAACGTCCCCCGAAAAAGCGTCTCGAAAGTGAGGACTCTGCCGCCCCTGCTGTCCCCGTTGAGGAAGCGGTAGATGTTACAGCTCCTTTGGAGAAGCAGGATACAGCCGAGGTTGCTAGCAAGAAATCGATTGACGAGCCTAGACCTCCGAGACAATCATTGTCCGTTCGACGAAAATCCACTACAACGCCAGCAGAAATGGACGGGAACGAGGCAGATATGTCAGGCGCTGGAGATACGACAGAGGGACAGGAAGATCTCACCGAGAGGGAAGACAGCGATGAGAAGTCGCGTCCCCATGGAGCCATTGTTCCCGAACCGGAAATTCCGGAGGGCGAAGAGGAGGGTGCAGAAGAGGAGGACGTCGACCCCGAAGTTAGACGAAAAGAAGAACTTCGTGCTAGGATGGCAAAGATGAGCGGTGGCATGGGTTTCCATGGCATGTTCGGTCCACCTGGGATGATGTCCATGGGACCCCCGGCAAGTGCTAAGAAGCCTAGAGCATCACCGCCTTCTGAGCGTCGCTCCAGTGAGCTATCGGAGAGGCCCTCGTCGTCTAGAATGGCGGCCCCTCCAGTACCAACTATGATGGCTCTCCCCGGGATGGGGATGCCGAAGCAGCAAGAGGAAGAAGCTGCTGCTGAGTCCGAGCATGATGAACCAGCCGGACAGGACACTACACCCGTTGTCAGTGCCCAACCGACTGGTTCGATTACAGAACGTAAGTTTCAACCTAGGCGTGTGCTTTGTCTTATTATGACTACTATAAGACGATTAACACCACGGGTAGCTCAATCAAAAACACCAGGTGCCCCGCCTCCTATTCCTGGAGGGCGACCTGCACCACCTCCGGTGCCTGCGGATTGTCAGTCCGGCCCCATTCAGTCCGTAAATTAAAGACTAACAATTTTCCTAGCCCGACCTCCACCCGCCGGCGTAACTTCCCCTAGCCAAGGCTCCGAATCCGATGATGAGCTGTCAGAGAATCCTCAAAGAGCTCTCGAGACCCCTCGAGGCGAAGCCCCTGCGGCTCGGGCTCCCCCTATCCCATTAGGATCTCCTACGGTTCCAACATCGCCACGAGTGCCTAATAGACGCACTTCCTACATACCTGGAGAAGGGGCCTCACCAACCTCGCCGCCTCCTCCTCAGTCGAGTAAGAGAAACAGCCGTCCCCCACCCCCTATTCCTGGCGCTGCCCCCCCTCCCCTTACCCAGAACCGTCCTCCTCCCCCTCCTCCTCCCGGTGGTCCCCCAAGTCGTTCATCTACTGCTGACGAACGAATCCTCTCCCCAATGAGGCCCGGAGCATTGGATAATGGCGAAGAGGGAGAAGTTACAGAGTATGAAGGTGACTACGACACTGATATTGGATCCTCAGTCCATCATAAGGATGCGCTCAAGGCGCATGCACGGGATTCTAGCTTTGATGATAGTACACCACTGCGTTCACCCATTGGCGATGGTCCACCGTCTGTGCTCCCGCCAATGCCAGGCGCCGCTGCCCCAAGAGCTGGACCACCGCCAGTTCCGAGCCAACCGGCACCGGGCTCGAGACCATCAGTAGATGCACCACGTGCCGTTCCTCCGCCACCGCCACCTCCGAAAGAGGTCCCGTACACCTTTGATGATGAAGATTATGATCCCTATAATTACAACGCTACGCAAGATCTTGCCGCTTCTGTCTCCCACAGCGGTGTCGCTCAAGACGAGGCAACACCAACACCACAATCGATCTCAGCTTACCATTCGCCGCCTCTGCCTCCTCCAGTTAACCGAGGACCCCCGCCAGCACCACCGGTTAATAGGGGTCCGCCTCGAAAATCTTTAGACTTACGAGCCGGTGGAAGACGATCAGTCGATGTCTCTCGACCATCAATGGAAACTGGCTTCGTGGCGAATGAAATTGATTTAGCCCCCCATACTCAATGGTGGCTTCAACCAAACGGAGTACCTCCGATTTTCCAAGGCAGGAAAGATATCTATACCGAATGTGATGAGTCGACCTCTGGGACGACAGTTACCAAAGAGGTTTTCCTCCTGTTCCAAGATTACTCGCAGACTATTATCACGATTCGTTTCGATACCCAAAATCCCGCAGGCGCTCAGCTTGAACAGCGCCATGAAGGTCCTCCTCGAACCCTTCGCCAGGACCAGCTGGAGGAAGCATATGAACGATTTGGTCGGTCAATTTCAAGTGCGGTTGCATCAAGGAAAGACTCGGTTGTTGGTGACGGTACCCCTCAAGCGTTGATCCATGAGCTTCTCAAGCCCCTCAAAGATGCCCTATCACCGGTCGGCACACGCACTTATGGTGCCTTGGTCTACGCCAACCTGGCCAATGCTTCAACGCAGTTGAACGATGAAATTAGACCAGGAGACATCCTTTGCATTCGCAATGCCAAGTTCCAAGGTAAACATGGACCTATGCACGCGAAGTATTCCATGGAAGTAGGCAAACCGGACCACGTGGCTATCGTATCAGAGTGGGATGGTACAAAGAAGAAATTAAGGGCTTGGGAGCAAGGTCGCGAGAGCAAAAAGGTTAAACAGGAGAGTTTCAAGCTAGAGGACTTAAGGAGTGGTGAGGTTAAAGTCTGGCGAGTGATGCCGCGTAGCTGGATTGGGTGGAGTTCAGATTAGGAACCTCGAAGACCATCCTACGAATACATGTGCCCGATACTTGTACGAGTCAGCACAGATGGGAGGGTCAGCGTGGATAGTCTTATACGGACACCGTTCTAGTCTCGATCCTCTTCCCTATTAGTCTAGCTCTAGAGAGATGAAGGCAACGGTTTGGAATGTTAATAGAATCTATGATACGAAAGCATGAGATGGGATGGTGCCATCGAGACAGCAATGAT